GTATTGTGGAGTGAAAATTTCAAATTTTGCATCACTCTAATATCTCATGCTGGCAGTTGGCAGGACCGATGCATGGACATGATGTGGCTAGTGCGGAGGCCGCAGAACCGGAAACACAGCTAGAAGTTGAAGCGGATTCAGGCAAATAAGAGGCTGAATCGTCAATATTCTTGCCAGTAATCGGACCTACGTCTACACTCAGGGCCAAGAGGACTATGCTGAGCGCTGGTTGGGGTAAGCGCAACTGAGGCCGGGGGCTTCCACAGTGCTATCCACGATGCGTCTCGGTGGTGATGGTGGTGGTCCAGAAGCAGTAGAGGTAGCGTTTCGTAAGAACGGTGTGCATGTAGGTCCGTTGTCCAACAAACAATTTTGGAAAACCCCATTTCTCGAATCAAGCGTAGAACCGGGATGTCTGATGGTCGCTGGCGGGAAGGGTTCGAATGTGGAGAGTTGAAAAGGGGCTTCCTCAAGGCGAGCGACAAGAGTGCGTCCCGGTATACGGCTAGCAGAGGAGGCTCCGTTAAACCAACTGGTTTCTTTGGCACTGTAATTTGGATCAACATCAGGCTCCGAAAGCTCACAATTACAGTAGTACTTGCATGATGAAACAAGCTGGGAGTCCCTCACATCTAGATTCAGGGCCAGGACGACATGAATGAACGCAGTCAGTAATATCCGCGACTGAGCTAGAGGAGCTGGGGACTCCCAAGATGATTTTTACGGTGCGTCCTGGTGCAGCATTATTTTTGGAGATTGTGCAAACATGTGTGTTCTGGATGAGCAGATGGACCATTCGATGATAACGAAGACGCATCGTTTAGCCTCGAAGGATTCGGGAGTACCTGGATGCGGAAAACTCATCACACAACGGCGAACACGAATAATTGAGATACTTGCCGGGTGGAAGACTCCCTCCCCCTCCATACAAAATTTGAGGGGAAATCTTACAACAAATTATGAGGAGAACTGCAAATGAATTTTTAGGAGAAATTCAAATGAAATTCTGAATTGTATTTTACGATAATTCTGAAAATAATTCCAATGGATTTCGTAGGAGTATTCCAAAAGAATTCTTAGGAAATATTTTAGGTAATTACAATAGAATTTGTCTTACTTTTTTCTCTGAATGGGAACGTGAGCCTTCTGTCAGAATTAAAATATTTTTTTTAAATACTTTATTAGGCTGATTTTAGCCGCTTATGGGCTAGATCATCATTAAATAAATAGGAATCCTCAGATCTTACCATAGGTGGATAAATTAAGTTAATTTTTACCTTGGTTGATACAGGAGCCAAATGGACGTGGATAAAGTATATAATTTTCCTGAAATATTCCACTCCATGCAGTAGGATAGACTACCGTGTTATCGTTCTATCAGTAAATTCATCAGATCTCATTTTTTTCTTCTGGACAGCAATATCACGCCACGAGGAAAAGCTACTCGTCCGTGACGTGTTTGCAGTTTTGGACCAAAAATATACCACTCACTATACGCCCACTGAATCCCACCGGTCAAATCCCAAGAGTGTCCTCGGGTATAAATATCTACACCATCAACATTGAAGGGACGAGCAGATAGCTTGTGCAATGTTAAAAACGAACGTCAGCAGAATAAACTTCATTCAATGGTCACCGAGAGCAGAGCATCGTTCTATGTCCACACTCTGTCTCGCTATCGCTAAAATCAACTCAACATGTTTGGTGCATGAACAACTTTCCGCCAGCCCCCACCCACCCATTTCGGGGAGAGTTTTACAATATTTAATATCATCATATGTCTAGTACTTGTTTCGTGTGTTCATCTTGTGTAGATAACTTATAATGAAGCTTGGTATATTATTGCAAAGCGGTAGAACTTAAATTACAAGTAGTTAGATGAAACGTTTCCTTAAATTGAAGGTAGATTTGTTTTTGCTAGTTTACGACTAATGAGTTTTTGAGAAAAAAAAACATTGAAAACTTTCAACTTCATAGAACATGACTGATTAATTATCGCAGGTCTGCTCACGTCCCGATGAAAATTGTATAATTTCGATCTAAAAGCAGTAATTGGAGCATAAAGTCATTACGGGCACGGGGCACGTAATTCGTTTATACCCCCTCGCACCTGTAATGACAGGATGTCGTCGCTTATCGCAGAACATTAAATCAAATTATTATGAATACTTTGTATGCCCGCTCTTCAATTTGTAGCTGCCTATTGTATCAATGAGGACGAGGCGACGTTACGTCAAATACGAAACCCAACGACCCACAATTTGTAACTTCTATTCGTGCTTGCTTCTCCGGTGCTTTCCGAACCCCAACCATCGTTACACAATTCAGGTTTCCTTGGCGAACAGCACCGATCCACTATGGGCAAAAACATTGAGATTTCGCGACAAAATCAAATAAAGTTGTTTCAAACCAATCGGCATTTTTCTACCACTCAATCAATCTTGACAGGTTTTCGAAATCAATTCTGATGCTAGTTTGAATTTAAGTGTGCTTGCCTTCTTTGGCTCAATCGGTATATAGGCACAGCCAGGCATGGGAAATCGTTTACATTCATCAAGTACATTCATTTACATTCATTTACCTCTTAACTCAAATTTGTATCTGTTATGCATACTGAACCAGAGCAAACAGAATAATTTTATAATAATTTATATTTTTTTTTAATATATTTATGTTTTGAAATTTTTTTAATATTCAGCCATTCAATTTAAAAAATCATAACATTTGAACCACTGGGCCGATTTCAAAGATTAAAATATCAAATGAAAGTTTATCAAAATACGTTTCATCTTCTTTTATTTTCGGACTCATGGTAGTCTAGTCGCATAGGAGTATTAGCTTAGCTTAGACTGACTGCACATATCAACGAGTAGTAGTAAAATCTTCTTTATTTTGATTTGTTATGTGGATTACAATTGCAATAGGTTAGCCAGAAGGCTCTTCATCTTTGGTGGACTTTTTGATTTTGTGTTGAACATGTTGTTTTTTTGCTGTGTAATGTTTTTCAATTTTCTTCTTGTGAAGTATGTTGTTTGAATGTATTTAATTGTTATTCTACCTACTTAATCTAACTTAACCTAACGTGCCAGATCCCTGACGATCTGTTGATCGGATCGCTTACAGCAATCTCTGAACCTTGCGATGGAGTCAGCTCTCCGTAGCTCCAGTGTCTGAAGACCAGCCAGGCGGTGGACCTCAGAATGTCTAGTCCGCGGGGGACAGGATCATCCTAAGGATCTTGTTTTGGATCCTTTGGAGTTTGAGGTGATGACATTTGGCGATGATTTATTTGTAGACAGCAAGCTTATTTTTCAGGGACAGGGTAGACCTCCTGTTGATGAGTGGATACAACGATCTTATCAAGATGTTGCACTTGGTTTTGGTTTTGTCAACGTGCTCCCTGAAAAGAAGCTTGCTGTCTAGTGTTAGCCCGAGGTACACGACCTCTTTGGACCATTCAACCACTGAGCCGTTTAAGCAGATCTTATTATTTTCAGACGGAACAAGTCTAGGAGATTTAGAGTGTGGAAAGATAATGACCTGGGTCTTTGCCGCGTTGATACGGATCTTCCAGCTGTTGAAATATTCAGACAGAACGTCCAGGCCTCTCTGAAGTTTGGCAGTCAGAGCTCCGATGACCCTACCCTTGTAGACGATGGATGTGTCATCTGCGAACAGAAACAACGATCCACCATCAGGGAGAGCCGGCATATCGGTGGTGAACAGGTTGAATAGGATGGGGCCAAGGATGCTTCCTTGTGGAACCCCGGCACCGATGTTGAAAGCATCCGATGAGATGCCATTCAGAGAGACTCGGAACGTCCTGTCCGATAGATAGTTGTTTATGATCTTCACTAGAAAGATTGGAAGACCGTACTGCTGCAATTTGAACACCAGGCCATCATGCCAGACATTGTCGAACGCTTTTTCAACGTCCAACAACGCCATGGCAGATGTTTTCGAAACAGACTTGTTCCGTCTGAGAATGTTTGTTACTCGAGTCAGCTGGTGGACAGTCGAACAACCTTTCCGAAAACCAAACTGTTCCTCGAGTAACAAGTTGTTTTGATCGGCATATGTTAGGAGCCGGTGGTACACTGCTCTTTCGAACAGTTTTGATAACCCTGAGAGAAGGCTGATTGGTCGATAACTTGAAGGAGAGGACGGATCCTTCCAAGGTTTCCAGATGGGTATGACTTTAGCTGACTTCCAACACGAGGGGAAGTAGCCAAGTCTGAGGCACTGATTAAAAATCAGTGCCAGATGGTTGTAGAATCTGGAACTCAAGTGTTTGAGTTCCAGATTCAGGATGTTGTCGAAACCTGGTTCTTTCATGTTTCTAGATGATTAGATAAAGGCCAACAGTTCGTCAGCCGTAATTTCAGATTCCCCTGAAAAAATGTTAGGAATCTGATGAAGATTGGTTGCATTTTCAGCAACCTCAGATTCATGAGGGCTGACGATGTTTTGTCCGAGATTATGGGAGCTGACGAAGTGTTGACCTATCGCGGCAGCCTTCTCTTCAGGAGTTATCAGATGAACCACTGGGTCGCCGGGACGGGAATGGGTCTTGCATTATTTTTAAGGATTTTCGTTAGTTTCCAGAAGGGCTTTGCACAATCTGGGAGAGAGCGGATCTTGTTAGCAAAATCTTGATTTCTGGCTTGGATGGTTTTTGTTAGGCGATTACAGTGGGTCTTAAGAACAGGCAGACCAGAACGTTGGTACTGCCTTCGGATGGTGTTACGGAGTCTTATAAGGTATTTGGTAATTCTATCAAGGTTCAGAGTATTGCTCACCTGTCTGGATACTGGCACGTGTTGTTCCCTGGCCCGGGATATCGCCACCTCGATGGAACGCAGACACCGGTCAACGTCTTCGGGCGTCTCCTGAAGGACACCGTAGTCGACAGTCGAGTCGACACAGTGTTGGAACTGCTCCCAGCTGACACGATGGTAGTTGCGTCGGGAAGCTTGGATTCGGTTCACGGATGAGCCTACTTCGGCCACCACCGGATAGTGGTCCGAACTCAGCTCCTGATGGGTCACAGGTAGCGAGATGTTGTCTCCCATGTTGTTGATGAAGATGTCTATCGTGGAGTGAACACCAGACCGGCTCAACCGGGTGGGACAGTCCGGCGCTAATATGGCGTAGCGAGCCTCTTGCAGGTCGTCGTTCAGGAAGGTGCCGTTTTGGTTACGTCGACTGTTGCCCCAAGGCTGATGTTTGGCGTTCAGGTCGCCAGCGATGATGCCATTTTCACGCCGTCGAGTTAGTTTGATGATGTCCCTCCGTAGGTCTGCTGCCGACCCGCCCTGATGGTGACTTGCTTGGGGCAGTAGGTCGCAATGATGGTGATAGGGCCGACAGGAGTGGAGACTTCTACCCCTAAAGCTTCGATGGTTTTCAGCTGGAAGCTCGGCAGAAGCCGACAGCAGATGTTTCTCCTTACAGCAAGGGCCACTCCTCCTCCCCCGGAGCAGGTTCGATCAAGTCTTAGAAGCCGGAAGCCAGGAAAGTAGATGTTTACCTCCGGTTTCAGGTGGGTTTGAGTGATAACGGCAATGTCGATGTTTTGTTTGTTGAGGAAGTCAACGAACTCGATGATCTTGCTCTTGATCGAGCAAGCGCTCCAGTTGGCGATCTTGATGGTTTCACGGTCCATAACTGACCATGAAGGTAGCCACAGCTTGGAGCTGGTCGGATTTGTTCTTGATGGTGTTGGCAATGTCGTGCATCTTAAGGAAGTTGTCATTAGTTCCGCTGCGGTGAACCAAGAACCATCGTTGATTTCAGGCTGCGGTAGGGACGGTCCATCCTGACGCCAGTTTGGCCCAGGGGCTGCGGGGAGATCCTGTGGCTGTGGAGCAGCGGTCGTCTCTTGACCTGAGTTTGCAGGGACTCTGGCAGTTTGAACTCGGTCGTCAAGGTATCGGTGGGAAGTTCTGGTCATTAATTTCCTGCACTTTCTTGCGGCCAGGCTGGTTTCTCGTCGATGCTTTCTTCCGGATCTCGATGTACTCGGTGCGCTTCGGGCAGGCCTTGCTTGTAGCTTAGTGATCAGCACCGCAGTTGGCGCAAATGGAATCGAGTCTGTCGCAGGCGTCCGTTTTGTGTTGTTTGCCACACTTGATGCAGCGGCTGACCATATGGCAATTCTTCGTTCCATGCCCGAACAGCAGCCAGCTCGAGCATTGGGTGACTCCACGACTGACCGGCTTGTACCGCTCCCACTTCACCACTATGTTGAACAGGACGTGGATGCCCTGGAGGTCCATCAAAGTTCTTGAGTTCTTCTCAAGGTGGACCAGGTATAGCTGGTCGCGGTACTTGACGGCCTTGTTGTGGCGGGCCATCTTGTGAATTTGAACCGGCTTTAGTCCATTAACCACCAGCTCTTCCAAGAGGACACCTGTGTCCATTTCGTATAGTCCTCGCAGGACCACCTTGAACGGCTTAACAGCCTCGATGTCGTGGGAGAAGTACTCCACCTGTGCGTGGTCCAGCATGGCCTGAACCGCGTTGTAATGGTTCAACGCAGGAACCATCAATTTGTATCCTTCCGTGCACAGCTGGATGGTGCACCGGACGCCCTTCGTGATGTAGAAGTTTATTTTTTCCCGCAATCCGGGAGGGAAGCCTTTCACGTAGAAGGGCGGCATTCTGTCCTTTTTCGGCGGTCCTGTTGTTACTGTCACCGGTTCTGCACCGTCCTTCAGAACGGAGAACCGATTGTTGTCGAGCAGCTTCTTCACGGCAGTCGCACTGTCACTGTTGTCTTCAGGCCTAGACCGTTTCCCAGGATTGCCGGCACTCGCGCCACCGCGCGATTTTTTACCCATGGCTGGGTCAGCGAGAGCGTCACTATTCAACGCGAGAAAAAAAACGGAACAACGCAATCAAACGAACGAAGAGAGCGAGAGAAGAAACGTCGACTGTACTGCTCAACAGTCTGGCAGCGAATGACTTCAATGACCTTTGTTGTTTGTGAGCCGTGTTTACCTCTGCACCCCAACAAAAGACACAGGAAAGAAGATTTTGTTAGTAAGTTGGGTTCGATGGATCAGGATTCACCTTGATAAGTTATGCGACCATGGTTTTAAATGAATCAATGTTATCATGCATTATACTTGGATTTGCCTGAAGCCTAAACAAAATGGTGAATTATTATTTATAATATAAATCTGAAGACTTTCCATCATCGAAAAGCTGAAAATAAACTAAGAGCATGAGCATGAGCAAAACTGACCGCCCGCGATTGCCAACACAAAAGAGCTGAAAACCAATTCAAACAAATCAAATCAACAGACAAAACCAGGGTGATAGCTGTAAGAGTGAATCATTACAGTATAAATCTAATGATGTTCCGTTATCGAAGAGCTGGAAGAAAACGTAAAAAATTTTAACCAAAAGATTGAGTCTGAATGAAGGCTGAAAAAAGAGAATAATTATACAGCAATGACCCCATTTTGTCAGCTACACTCAAAAAATATTGAAAGCTAAATAGTATAAAAGTTACGCTAAATCGCAACTCTCCGTGCCGACGCAAAGGTCGGTATAAAGGGTGAGAATGCAGACTTAGTATAAAAATGATTTATGCCTGCATAGTATAAAATCGAAATATGCTTGCAATGCATACATACGGTTTATTCGAGGGAATGTATTTCTGCTTCTTTTTCGTTTAATGCTTAATATTATTGTTTTCAAATAAAAATTAATGTTGTAATTAAAGCAAAAGCAGTACCATAAAATTATCATTTTCAACCCAGGTTTATCATTACCCGACGTTTTGATCTTTTATAAGCGGCTAAAACTTGGGTCCACCCGGAATGGTCATATTCAACGCTTTGGCCTTTAAGTCGAACAGATAGAAGAAATTACTGTGCATCAAATCAGTCAGCAGTTTATTAGCTAATCAATACAGGGTTGCCATTCATGGCAGGCTTCAATTCCACTTCCGGCAGGCTTATATGCTTCTTTCGATCAATCTGCGGACGATTTTTGCAGAACCATTCGAGAACGTTACCACCTTCAACGTGAACTGAAAAACGACTACGAGTGCCATCGTGTTTGACATTGTCATTTTTGATCATTTTAGTATACACTGATCGAATTCCACTTCAATAATCGGACTTAGTATAGTTTTGAAGAAAATATTAATCGGACCAATGTATAAATTTTGATTAATAATAAAATGCATAAAATTGAATCAATACTGGTTTTGTAATATTTTTGAGTGAAGCAAAGTGTGTGTATCTTAAACATCCATCTTGAAGGAGGAAGATATGAAATCACAATTATGTGGTCAGTCCGCATCGTGCTCTCTTGCCGTGCGGATCTATTTGCTTTTTGCTGAAGGAAGTGTTACTACTACCTAAAGCTACAACAAATTTAAACAGCACTTTTCAGTGCTCAACCTGTAAAAATTTTTTACCTTGTTCCAACTCTTATTCCTCTTCGATCCTTGTTTGGACCCTACCCGAGGTAATCCTTCTTGGATATCGATTTGGAAAATTCCTCTTCGATCCTTCAGATTCTTATAGTAATCTGCTTGGAAGTCGAATTGGATAAAAATTTACTGCCGCCATGGCGCCTAAACGCAAAAGAAAGGGGCAAACTCTTGACCCCCCTTCTGATGAAATTAATTTGAGTAATCAATTTGATTTGCTCACGGATGATGAGAATGATCCATCATCCAAGAAAAATTCTAGTAAACTTTCCCGGCTTAATGCCAAGAAGGAAAAGATTCCCCCTATTGTGATAACCACTACCGATTTCCATGCTCTTCGCATGGAACTTTTGAATTTCGTGAAAGTTAAGTTTTCACTACAAATTGGACGTCGGGGTGAATGCCGTGTATTGGCTGAAACCTTGGACGGATTTAAATGTCTTCTCAAGTATCTTACTGAGAAGAAGCACAAATTTTTTACTTACGACACCAAAACTGAACGTGTGTTCAAGGTTGTCATGAAAGGACTGCCCAGTGGTGAATCCCTGGATCAGATCAAAGATGAACTGGCAAAATTACTTGGAGTTGTGCCACTCCAAGTAATCAAAATGAAAATGAAATCCCGTCCTGGCGATTCGCGCAACGGGATTTCTAATGATTTTTATTTAGTTCACTTCAAGTCTAGTGAACTAAACAACCTTAAGGCCTTAGAAAAAGCTAGCCTTATGCTCCATGTCCGAGTGAAGTGGGAACACTTCAGGAAGACTGGAGGAAATTTCCAAAACCTCACCCAGTGCCGTAAGTGCCAGGGATGGGGTCACGGAACTAAAAATTGCTACATGCCAGCTAAATGCATGAATTGTGGTGATTCCTCTCACGCAAAGGACGACTGTCCTGTGAAGGAAGATCCTAAGAAATTTAAATGTTCAAATTGTGGTGAAAACCACAAATCCAATTTTTGGGAATGTAAGACTCGCAAAGCGATCCTACAATCTCGTTCTAACCGTCAGGTAGGAAACGCTCCACGTTTCCGACCAGGTACAAATTCCTCTGCTGTTAACAACGGTCAGCGAGGAACAAATTCTACATTCGTACCCGTAGGTACAAATATCTCCCCTGCTTCAAATGTTTCATCTGTACCTACTCCCCTCGCTGCTAACAATGTTCAGCGAGTTAATGGAGCTACCTATGCTGCTATTGCAGCGGGTAGAAATCAAAATACTAACCAACGTTCTAACGGAAATTTTGACAATTTTGACTTAGGAAGCATTACTGCCCCCAAAATGGAATTTTTACAGAATTCATTAATTGACATGATTTCTGATATGCTTAAATCTAACTCCATGTTTGATGCTATTCAAACTGGAGTAAAATTTGCAAATAATATTGTCATGACTTTAAAATTCAGTAATGGATTTTAAAGCATTAAATATTGTAAATTGGAATGCTCGATCTCTTAAAGATAATGAAGACGAGCTATTTAATTTTTTGAGAGTTCATAACGTGCATATTGCCGTTATAACTGAAACGTTCCTTAAACCTGCCCATAAGGTTAAGAAGGACGCAAACTACTTGATTTATAGAAATGATCGTCTTGATGGACCCTGTGGTGGCGTTGCCATCATTATTCATAGACGAATCAAACATAAAATTCTTTCTTCATTTGAAACCAAAGTTTTTGAAACTTTGGGAGTTTCTGTTGAAACAAAATTTGGACAACTTACGTTTATAGCTGCCTATTTGCCATTCCAATGCGTAGGCCAGCAAAAGAATTTTCTCAAGGGTGACCTCCAGAAACTTACCCGTCATAGGTCTAAATTCTTCATTATTGGTGATTTTAATGCAAAACACCGCTCATGGAATAATGCTCAAAGCAATTCCAATGGTAATATTCTGTTTGATGATTGTTCTGCAGGTTATTACACTATTCAATATCCAAACAGCCCAACATGCTTTTCTTCTATAAGAAATCCCTCCACTATTGATTTGGTCTTAACTGATTCATGTCAACTTTGTAGCCAATTGGTTACCCATGCTGACTTCGGTTCTGATCACCTTCCAGTAACTTTTGAAATATCCCAAGAAATAATTTGTAATCCCAACAGCTCTACTTTCAATTACCATAGAGCTGATTGGGAGCAATATCGAACATTTATGGAATATAACTTCGATGCAAACATTCCTTTGCAAACCAAAGATGAAATTAATTATGCTCTTGAATCTCTGACTACTTCTATAGTTGAAGCAAGAGCTGCCTCAGTACCAAAATGCGAGGTTAAATTCGATTCAATTATAATAGACGATGATCTTCAGCTCTTGATCCGTCTTAAAAATGTCCGTAGGAGACAATATCAAAGAACACGCGATCCTGCCATGAAAGTTATCTGGCGGGATTTGCAAAAACAAATTAAAAAGCGATTCTCTGCCCTGAGGAACAAAACTTTTGAAAATAATATTTCTAAATTAGACCCGAGTTCCAAACCCTTTTGGAAACTCACAAAAATTTTGAAAAAACCTCAAAAGCCTATTCCAGCGCTTAAAGAAGGTGGTAAAATTTTGATCACAAATTTGGAAAAAGCTCAGAAACTTGCTAAGCAATTCGAGAGTTCCCATAATTTCAGTTTGGGTCTTACTAGTCCTATTGAGAATCAGGTTGCTCGGGATTTTCTGAATATTTTCTCTCGGGAAAATATTTTTGATGATTCCTGGGGGACTGATTTGGACGAAGTAAGGTCTATAACTAAAAAATTTCAAAATATGAAAGCTCCAGGTGATGATGGAATTTTCTATATCCTCATCAAAAAACTCCCAGAGAGTACCTTGTCTTTCTTGGTAAAATTATTTAACAGATGTTTCCATTTGGCATACTTTCCTGATAAATGGAAAAATGCAAAAGTTGTTCCAATTTTGAAGCCGGATAAAAATCCAGCTGAAGCTTCTAGCTACCGTCCAATAAGTTTGCTTTCTTCAATAAGTAAACTTTTTGAAAAGATAATTTTGAACAGAATGATGCTTCACATCAATACGAACTCATTTTTTGCAGATGAGCAGTTTGGATTTCGCCATGGGCATTCAACTACTCATCAACTCTTAAGAGTTAACAATTTAATTCGTTCAAACAAATCTGAAGGCCACTCAACTGGAGTTGCTCTTCTAGACATAGAAAAAGCATTCGACAGTGTTTGGCATGAAGGTTTGATTGCTAAATTGAAAACGTTTAATTTTCCACTTTATATTATGAAATTAGTTCAAAATTATTTAACTGACAGAACTCTTCAAGTAAATTATCAAAATTCCAAATCTAATCGACTACCTGTTAGAGCAGGAGTTCCTCAGGGTAGCATTCTTGGGCCTATATTGTATAACATTTTCACTTCGGACCTCCCTGATTTG